TGTTAATGGCTATTATAGTATTAGTGATTATTTGAATGATAACACACTCTGGAAATGAATTGATTGCTCCAGGTTCTTTCAAGTGGAATTTAATAAATTGTACACATACTTGTCCCGCTGAGTTTCTTACGCCGGTTCTTCTCAGGCTTCAGTGGCTTTCCTTCCGAACCGGTGTTAGAGTTTTTTGACTACCAATAAGTAAGTGTAATGCTTCTATTTTGAATAAATATATTTGACTTTGAGTCAGCAGTTTGGGTCTTCGAAGACGAGGTCAAACAAACGATAGTGGTTCGCTCCTGCAGCGTGTCAAAGAAAACGAGCACGAATGGAAAAGTGCTTTAAGTTGAACGGACAATACTTCGAAAAACAATAAAATACAATTTAGCTATACCGTGCATGTGGTTTTTCTTATTCCCGATCATTTCAGTGTGCCCACCGTATCATGCTTGTTGCTGCAATTTCTTTTTGGTAATTTATTTCGAACCATTTAGACGATGCTGTTAGAATGTAGGAATAACTTATAAAAGCATTTTTTTTGGATTTAATTATTAAAGCATTATTAAAGCAAGTTAATCGCTACACTTGAGAAGCTAACATAATAATAAATGTAAAGAGCCTATATGAATGTTATCTATTATGTATTCCAAAAACAAAATAGAGAGATCGAGAAGAAAAGAGGGGACAATTTATGTCATAATTAACAAAGTATTAAATAGTGTAAAAAAGTAAATTGCTCGCGTTCCCGTGAATCGTAGCGCAAAGTTATAACAAGTTCCCTCCTTCGTTTCCCATAAAATTTTAACTTTCGTAAAAACTTAGCGGCGCTCTTCGGAAGCCGTGCGGCGGTGCTTTCGAAAGTGAGTTCGTTTTATTTTAGATTACTTTCGGCGTTGGTGATATTTTTATCCCTTATTTTTAAAGTTAAGCCGATAAGCGTGGGGCACATTTAAGGTTTACTAGTGTTCGCTCAGTGGTCGAAATTCGACCATAATTAATCATAGATAAAAATTATTGTTTTAATGTATTTTTATAATAATTAAAAAATATGAGCCTTTTGCATTCCTTTATATAATCTATAAACGTGCGAAATTTCATACTCCACCGTCCGCGCAATTTCGCAATTCAATGTCCTCGAGCAACCTATATATATTGTTACTACTGTACTTGTACTTAAATTGGTAAAATTTCAGCAGCCCACTACTTTTATATAGCAACGAAAAATAAAAATTTAATGATAGAGAAATATAGATAATAATACCTAAAAAATAAATCAATAAGCAGAATTGGCTAATCACTTATAGTTTTCGAGAAAAAACATAATTAAAATATGTTATTTTCACTAAAGAAAACCGCCATTAATACGCTAATAACATTAATTTTATACAAGTGGTAACTCACGTTTTCACTTTATTGGATGATACAGAGATACAGTATACTTAAAATCAAATCACAAACACATATTTTTTACTTGGCGAGCGGGCATTATCAACAATTTTTAATATTTAAGGTTTAACTTTCAAAATTAAAATCATAACAAAAACAATTCAATAATAACAATAATACTATTGAATACAGATTCACATACATACTACATACGACAGATAGTCAATTAATTTAAGTATCGATTAATTATTATGATTTTATATCGATTATTAAATAAATTACAAAATTTTAGTTGTTTAATTAAAATTTTAAAATAAATAAATAATTTATCTCTGTTTATGGCAGGCCTTGGAGATGTCATCAGGACTTGTTATTAATTAAGATAAATTGAGTTCTACATTTATTTATCATAAAATTAGGTAAGGTTCAAAATGAGTCACAGATCCGATACAGTGCACCCCGACTCCATGTGGTCTTGTGGTCCCTACCCCCTAGAGTGAACATAAAATAAAGTGGGCCCCGGCTACCTCACTCACCAGACAAAACGCAGTAGTTGAAACACTTACGCCGGTTTTCTGTGAGGTCTTGGTACTTACCCGGACGGACTTGCACAATCGTGCAGCAGTGAATACTTTTGCATGGTCCTACCACAGTTAAAAGCATTTTCATTGTTAAAAAAAAATTGAAAATATAACGGCAAAACTGTTATTTGATTATTACGAGATCGGGATGATAAGTAACTAGCCTAATAAGAAAACACTTAACTTTCCGTGATAAAATTAGTTTTATTTTTCGACATAGTCCCCGTGAACCTCTACGCCCTACACAACATGGAATATCTTCATTCTAAAGCAGTAATGCCTTCCATAAAATGATTTCTTTCGAGGCCTGCAAAATACTACTCTACAGCGGCTATGACTTCATCATTTGTGGCAAATTTCTGTCCGCCCAAAAAAGTTTTGAGCTTAGGGAACAAGCGGAAGTCTGATGGCGCTAGATGAGGCGAATAAGGGCAGCAAATCATACTTCAATTCGTTGATTTTTGCCATAGCTTTAACACATGTGTGAACCCTAGCGTTGGCTTGGTGGAAGATGATTTTTTTTCGCCATACCTGGTCGTTTTTGCTGAATACATTGATGAAGATTATATAGAAGATTAGCGTAGTCCTTTATTTTTTTGACCTTTAGGAAGGTAATCTATCATCGAGAACCCATCTGCATCCCAAAAGACTAAAGCCATCACTTTTCCAGCCGACTTTACAGCCATGGCTTTTTTTGGAGTCGGGTATCCCGATTGAGTGCACTGTTTTGAGTGAATTTTTGATCCTGGCGTGTAATGATGAACCCATATTTCATCTGTTTTTTTTTAGATACCTGTAGTGTCAGCTATTTCAGATAACTTCAATCGTCCATCTACTAAAACCATATCATGTACTTTCACGATAATTTCCGGAATCGTGATGCTTTTTGGACGTTCGGGGCAGGCTTCATCTTGGGCACATGCATGACCGCGTTTAAACTCAGCCCACTGCAACTGTGGCATAAGGAGGGGCAAATTCACCCAAAACATTCTTTAACTCGTCATAGATATCTTTCGCCTTCATGACCTTCATATGAAGAAACTTGATCACTGCTCTTTGTTCAATTTTATCCATTTTGAAAACAGTTGACGAAATATATTTTAAAATGACAAAAAATCTATAAAATTTTCATGCAGCCAAATTCAAATTTAGAACACAGGTGGCCAGAGATACGAATTTAAAAATGACATATATTTTTTTAATTTTAACTTTTTAAATAGCAGTGGCTAGTTACATATCATCCCGCCCTCCTATGAAAAAAAAAAATATATAGTAGTAAAATCACAAACTGCACGTTCGCAATCAGAATCGAACTGGATTTACCGTTATGACCTCTCAGTCACTGAGTCGTATACAATAGAACAGCAAACAACATAGAACATAGAAAACAAAGAAATAAATCTCATGCTCTTCTTTGTTTGTTTGACTCCAGGAGAGAACCTTTCAGACGATAAATACTCTTTGTTGGGAAATATTTCCTACGATTTACCGTCCGCAACGAAAAAGGCAAGGCAAGGATATAACATGGAACGTTGTTTCGTAAAATACTGGTCATGAAAATCTCGAAAAAAACCGTGTAATACGTTTCAGAAAATTTATATTGTAGCCCTCCAGTTTAATCAATATTTAATGCTCAGAAAACTCCAAATGAAATATGGCATCTATTTTTATTAATTCTAAATTATTGAAAAAAAAGTAATAAATGTTGCAAAGCCTTCATTTTGGGTAACGCAGAATAACGCTAGTAGTAACTACATGTTAAACAATGCTTTAGAAACGGATTTCAAATATACTTAATAAGTCAATAAATTATATTAAATAAATAGCTTGTATCTGTGGTGGGGCCATTTTAGACTGTTAGACTTCGCTGTTAGTATCACGACCTACCAGAAGACCGGCGTGTAGTGGAAGTGTTACACTTCTGCTTTTCGTCTGGTAAGTGAGGTAGCCGGGGCACTCTTTATTAAAAGGTGGCGACGAATCTGCAGCCCAACGGGTGTAGTAAACGGCATGTCAACGGGCAGCGGTTATCATTTAACATCAGGAGAACCAGCTCGTTTGTCGAGGTGACATCACATAAAAAAGCTTGTTATTGATTTTACCGGCCAATTTCCTAATCTACTGCGAATAAAATATTTTGTTTAAAATGGAATTAATGCCGAATCGAATTTGATGTAAAATTGTGTCTATATTACACTTCAACTCCTTGTGGAAACAACTTGGTCTGTTCCAAACAAGCCATTCAGAACAGATCTAGTTGCTCCGAGCTCGTTAAAAAACTATTAAAGCACATTTACTTTGGACCAACTTAATTTCGGGACGTTCCTGTCTTCGTTCGTTTCGTAACCAACATTTAAGATTAGATTTCTTGTTGGTCTGATCGGATACGAAGATTACATAAGAAGCCTAATGAAATATTCTGACTATTCCATCCATCAATAACCACAGGAGTGTTTCTATTTTGAATAAAAAGAAAAATTACGATACGTTTCCGTTTTATAATTATTTCATATATTACTTTTGGCATTGTTATGTGTTCTGTTTATCTTTTGTAGTTAGCACTTAATTATTTTTGGTGTACCTACACGATAGCCTAAATGAACAATACAGATCTTATTGCGGAAAATAAAAAAAAAAAATCTTTTTAACAGCGCTGAAAACCGCCTCTGATTGGCCGAACGGCTAGTGTACTTGCCCGCCTTAAACAAAAACATTAACAACTTTTGCTTTTGAAAATTAACGTGTGTCTCGCTATTACGAACGTACGAACAATATCCGAAGAATACTGTGTTTTGTGTGTGTGTGACCTGTGGAAGGACTATTCGAAGAGACAGGGACATATCCTTTCGAGAAACCGAATCAGCCAACCAGTTCGCCGAACCACAGCAGCGTGAGGCAGTAGAAGGCGGAGACGGAGGCGTGAGTTACCAGACCCTTAGTTCCAGAACACAAGTGCATTTTCTTACTTGCGGTTTATAAAGCTTTTTACTAAAATTTGCGTCAAAAGTAACCTTTTTGTATTTTATGCCTATTTCATGTTTCCGTGACGTTAATTGAGTTCCTGCTTATAAAAGGCGATTAACCAATTAACACATTTCTAACATATTAATTAATGCTTACGAGATGTTCATGATTTCAGAATGTCAAAAAACAAAATATACTCTTGTTATAATTTTTTTATTGAAGTGAAACTTCTTTATCGGGGTTGGAAAAAAATTTAGTGTAACATTTATCCGTTACACGCCATATTTTTTTTAATCTTAAAATGTTCCTCTAACGCCATCTAGTGTTGAATAGGGGGTTTTATGTCGTCTTTATTCTTTAGTGGTTTTAATGGTTGACGCTAGATGGCGTTAGTTCCATCGTATGTTCATAGCAATATATGTTATATTAAAGTGATCAGCAAAATCAAAGGGTTTATTTTAATTCTAATTCTAAAATGTTAACAAAACATTTCGTATTTCAGTTACCATAAGCCATTAATAACACAAATATATAATAACGACATCAATGATAGTAATAATTCTATTACAATGAATGAAATTCAATAATAATCTTTGTAGTAATGACAGTGCTAGCTCGAATACTTCAGAGCACGACACTGTGTCAACTTCCTCTTCTCCAAAGGCAGGCACCGCCCACCGAAGACACAATCTGAAGCTGGCGCGCGAGTCGAATGTCTTCACCTTTTTGCCTTCTACTCACTGGCTGACTATTCGGCAACGAAGGAACATGTACAAATTCAAAGCGGTTGTATTTTGGGTCCGTGAGGTTAATTGAAATAAACAAGGTTCACGTTGCAAGTTTTTTAATCAACAATTTTTGCGGACCCTCATACTAATTACAACGGTCAAACCATAGTGTGTTTTAATTTATTACTAACGCCACCTATGTATTACAAATAAGAAACTAAATATTATACAAAGCTAAAATTAAATAATTGTAGAATTTGTATTTATGTCTATGATAATAAAAGCCTTTTATTAAACTTTATCTAATTTAACTTTATGTTTCACTTCTTACGAGTGTACGCTAGTACACGCACACATTTTTTTTTCTTTCTTTATTAAGTTAACGTTTGCACCTTGAATTAATCTTGCTGTTTCATATTGTGTCCACGTAAAAGTCTTACTTACTTATAGATCTTACGGTGTGTCTACAAGTTTACGGTTTTTGTTTTACCTAATGTAAGAGGATGTTGAAGGCAGAGGCCGCTGCTTTGACCTCGGATGCGTCCACGTCGTCTTATGCTAGGCAGGTATTCTGAGCATGGTGTTTGTGAATTCCTTGCACATAATAGTTTAGAATTTTTTTAAATCTTCTTAAAAATAGAATAAATAGAAAAAATAGATTTTTACTTATTGGTTTTTGTTTAAAAAACATAAGAAATATTCAAATATAAACTTACTTCATTATTAAATTTGACACTTAATCGAGCCTTAGGCAAATTTGTCAAATTTAAAGATTTAAAAGAATAATTATTACGCAAATACATATATTTTATCGCGAATTGACTCTTTCCAAAACTTATACTTTTACAATAAAACATGGTTTTCCTTTTGCCACATAATTTCTATTCAAAGAAACAAAGACAAACGACGTACTTAAGCTTATACAATGACACCATTAATGTCACATCCAGATTTACTGTTTCAAGATATAAATGCTAAAGGCCTCCTTTGTTATGTCATAATTTCGCACCGGCAGTTCTCGGCCGCAACATATCTAAACCCCTGATATAAACAACTCATTGGACAATCATTTGTGTCCATTAATATTTTCTCCGATCACCTTTATGTGTATTTTGTGAAGACTGTGATTCCAAGAGTGTGAAAAGGTCCGTGACAAGGAAATTGTGTCCTAGTGCGAGTTTGTTTTTTTTTTTAATAATTAATTAAACCGAGCAATAAAATGTTAATAGAAGTCTTGCTATGTAGACCAATTAACAGCGCCTTCAATACATTAGGTACCTTGGTTATAGCAGCTTATGTAAATACTAAAGTAAAACTAAGACTGACATAAAAGAATTGTTTAAAATTATTTAATTTCTATGCACGTTGCAACTTTTTTTTATGTGAGAAAGGTGGCAAGCGAGCTGGCGGTTTACCTGATATTAAGTGATAACCATCGCTCATGGACATTTTTTTTTGATGCGAGTAGTTGTCAAACGAGCAGACGGTTCACCTGATGTTAAGTGAATACCGCCGCCCATGGACATCTGCCACACCCGCGGATTACAGATGCGTTGACAACCTTTTGAAAATTGGGCTCCGGCTACCTCACTCACCAGACGAAACGCGAAAGTATTTGTCATACTTCCACTTTACGCTGGTCTTCTGTGAGGTCGTGGTACTTACCCGGACGGGCCTGCCCATTCGTGCAACAGCCGAGGCTGCTGTTTGGCCCTACCACCGTACAATTGTATTGTAACAACTGTTGGGTTGTAGTTGCGTTTAATAAATTTGGCCCCAGCTACCTCACTCTCCAGATGAAACGTAGTCGTGTAACACTTTCACTCCACGCGTTCTTCTGCGAGGTCGTGGTCCTCCCCCGTACGGACCTGCCCAATCGTGCAATAGTGAAGGCTGCCGCATGGCCCTACCACAGTTAATCTCAATATTTTCGCATTTCTTGAAACATTATGATGCACGGGTAATGTGAGAACTCTTTTAACAGATGAAATTCGATATATTTGTATTCATGGACATTCCGTTCCAAGATTAAACATACCTTTGTATTGTTTTGAAATCATACCTGGAAAAAACAAGATGACTCGATAGCACCATTTCTAAGGTGCCTTCCACCTTCATCCGACTTAGGTGGCAAAGGTGGAAGGGCAGGAGGATGATGATGACCTGGAAAGAGCAAATTATCTCGTTTATTATTAACGGCTCGTTTGGCGCAGTTGTCGAATATAGTTCACTTCAATTAAACGTGCAGTTAATTAACAATGAGAGCTGCGTCATGGTGTTCCACGAAGCTAATTATTGTTGAATTTCGTAAAGCAATTTATCATTGCATGAGATTAATTTTACTGACAGACGGTCCATACACAGTTGACTAATTAGTTTTAATTATTTATCATATCTTGATTAACCGTGGCTTTACATGGCACTTTTTTTAATGGCGACAGTTGTTTAGTGTCCTTCCTGTTCCTTTGGGTACGGAACCCTAAAAACCCTTTGTACTTACAAAGGCCTTACGAAAGACCGTCGTAAAGTGAGAGTACTATACTTTCGCGTTTCGTGTGGTGATAGTACAGAAACGGCGGTGTGTTCGCTTGATATAGTACAATTGAAATTATGGCAAATATTTAAATGTGGTATTGCCACGTCTTAATCAATGGTTTTCGCTCTCGCACGAATGGGCAGGTGCGTCCGGTAATTACCACGACCTCATATGAGACCAACGTGAAGTATAAGTGTTGAAGAGTTGCGTTTCGTCTGGTGAGCGAGGTAGCCGTGATCCACTTTATTAAGAGGTGGCAAAACATCTGGGTGTCGCAAATTTCCATGGACGGCGGTTATTTAACATCAGGTGGACCACCAGCTCGTTTCCCACTTTCCCCCATAAAAAAATATATTGAAAGAACAGAAATGAAATAGTTTTAAATGTGGTAGAACCAAAATGACGTGACGTACCAAACACATGGTGTTAGGTTTGTGTTTGCTTCTTGAGACCCGGTGGTATAGGTGATAAAGGGATAGAACCAGTCATAGCAGTTCTCGATACGATTGAAAATTTTTGACATTTGTTAACAAAGAAAGCAAAAGTTATTTTACAATGTAGCTGATAAGCGTTTAGCATACACGTACAGTCACGTTCACTTGTGCATGTAGCGCCGTTAAAGAAGCGGCACCGTGGTAATTGCTATTCGTCGAAAGAAAATTCTCGCAGTGTGAAAGCCGCAATACAGCTCGCTCGGGATCACGTAAATTGCGGAATGAAAGCTAAGCCCCTACTATTGGCCCGTATTCCACACCTTTCATACGGCACTAATCTTCGAAATTTCATTAAAGATCGAACCAAACCTTGCCAAATTGACTAAAGTGATATTGATATATCTGTATATATATATATATATATATATATATATATATATATATATACAACGGTAACAAATAAGGTTCACTTTTCAGTGTCTTGCGGAGTAAAAGAAACTAATGTGTTGACTTCGGGGATGTTTATCTGATTTCTTAAAAAAATTATGATAGAGAGATTTTTTTTATGTTTGTTACCTCAGAACTTTGGACCGAGTGAACCGATTTTGATGAGACTTTTCTCATTCGAAAGCTGGTGCTTCGCACGTGGTCCCATATTAATTTCATTGCTATTGGTCCCACGTGGTCCCATATTAATTTCATTGCTATTGGTCCCACGTGGTCCCATATTAATTTCATTGCTATTGGTCCCACGTGGTCCCATATTAATTTCATTGCTATTGGTCCCACGTGGTCCCATATTGCTATTGGTCCCACGTGGTCCCATATTAATTTCATTGCTATTGGTCCCACGTGGTCCCATATTAATTTCATTGCTATTGGATCTCGGGCTCCGGAGCTACGGGGCGAACTCCTGAAAATCAATTGTAAAAAGTCGGTTTTGTTTTTCGTTAATAAAAAAATTACTTGTTGTATAAAAAAAATTGTTCAACCTGCAACAAGTTACTAATGGTAGTGATTAATTTTTATCAGTTTATTGAATGATTTTACTGATATACCTATTATTATTTCGTTCGACGCTAAATTTCATTTTGCCGTGAAATTATATTTAACAAATTTCGCATTATCGGCTTCATCATTGAATATAGATTACAATATAAAATTTAAAATAGAGTATTGTATGGGAAATTATATTCCAAACTATTAAGCTGATGACAGATCATTACACGTAAATAATTAAACTTAATTATCGAAATTCATACTGAATGAAATATGTTCTCGATATATGTTTTAAATTCTCCAAACATTGATTGGTGAAACGTTAAAATTAATACTTAGCATTGGTTTGCAAGTTTTTTTTTTACTTTTCTTATTTCTTTAATTCATCCAATGTTTAAGGAAATATCTCTTGATTATTTTCATAATCGCCGTTATCAAATTTAATTTTTGTTTTATTAACACATGAAAATCCTATTGAATGTAGTAATCATTCAATAGGATTACCCGTTACGAAAGTTTTAACTTACGGAAATATTTTTCCATTGCGAAATATTTAATTTGCGAAAAACTTTACCGTTTTCTTTTGACGTGAGAAGTTAATGTGAGAATGTCTTCTGTGAGGTCGTGGTACTTCCCAGGACGGACGTGACCATTTGTCCAACAGCGAATAGAGCCGCGTGTCACTACCACCGTCTACTCTACTTAGAGACTCCCAATTGCAGTCATAATCGATTGCCGATTATAGGATTGTGTTATATTGTGTCATATTTGTATTATATGAAAACGTATATATAAAAGCGAATGGAACTACGAGTTAGCAACGCGAATATCAAAACGTTAATGCAGGTTGAAATATTTCTTTTTATTGTTGTAACAAAATTTAAATAAACAATACCATTATTTTTACGTTTGATGACATATTATTGTAGACGCATAGAAAAATTAATGCGAAATGTATTTTCTCCATCAACTGCACATTATTGTATTAGAATTTATATATAACATATACAGATTTTGTTAAAATTATTATAATAAACAAAGGAGGAAAAAGAAACCTTGTTCGCACTCATTACTTACACAAAGATGGCGGGCCAAAGCCTCTCTGCGGGATCCGCGCAACTTGCATTCTTCTGAGCTATAAATGAAATTCCCGCTTTATCGTTCTACATATGCCTGATGAGATTCATGACTATTACTAAAGTAAAAAGAGAGTTAACAGTTTTTAACAGTTTTGTGTACAAAAATTCTGGTTGAGAGATACACCTTTATGACAATGCCTTCTTATAAAAATATGACCTCAAATGTCAGGTCCACGTACTAGTTCAGTGACTCTTATAGTTTTTAGTTATAAATTTTATTTAATACAACCTGTCCACTCACTTGTATACATTCATACATATAATATAATCAGAAATGGAAAAAATGTTGTATCCCTCGCGTTATTTTATGCTAAATATCGAAAAATAAAAAACCGACCAAGTGCGAGACTGACTCGCGCCGAAGTGTTTCGTATCATTATCTACGAAAACGGCAAAAAAATTATGTCTGTTGTATCCATTTAAATATTTTTTATTCTGTTTTTTTGTACTTGTTGTTATAGGGCAACAGTACATCTGTAAAAAATTTAACTGTCTATATATTACGATTTATGAGATACAGCCTGGTGACGGATGGACAGACAGACACATAGACAGGCAGACAGTGGAATCTTAGTAGTAGGGTCCCGTTTTATATTTTGGGTAAGGAAAAATAAAAAGACACTTTTAGATTTATCACAGTTCCGTTCGTTCCGTTTATAAATAAATAACCTGTCGAACAATCACTTTGGCAGAATCTCGCAGGAAGCTTAGATAGAAAGCAGCCCACATGAATATATATTATTGTTGAATGCAGTTATTTTGAAAAAAAAAAATAAGTATATAAAAGACGATGAGATTTTCGTTGTTGTGGCAACGAGCCGTTTAGCTTAGTGGTTAAAGCGTCTAGTTGGCAGTCTCGGTTGGCAAGATATGGGTTCGATTCCCGCAGCGGCGACAAACTTTTCGTTCTTATTTCTACAAATTGGAACAACTATTGACTACTATAAACAGTGATTTGTATTTAGCTGCCTATTAGAAAGCTTCAAGCCTTTTGGTAGCGAATTAGCAGTCATTACGCTTTTTGGATATACTTAAGTTATATAGAATCATAGTTTCTTTAACATGGCATTACTCAAATACATCTGTTATTCTATTAAAATAGATTTATGTGTGTATGAATAGATTTGATGCAAAGTTAAAAGAGGACGGCAAGAAAACACACATCATTGAACTCTTACGGTCTTACTCATAATCAGTTATCGGATATTTAAAAGCTCGCTAAAATTAGATTGTCAAAAATTGTTATTCATAATCGTTCTATAACGCTAAAAGGTTCATTAATTCTCCGATAAAGTGTCTTACTAAACTAAACCTTCGATAAATTAGCAAAAAATTATCAATTAGAAAAACATGGCCGATTTTGGTCAGCTGATTACTGACGTTGGCAAACGATTATGAAAAGAGATTTTTATCGAACGACTCATATGCTTAAAAGACGTTTTAACTAATATAGGTTTATACCTTCGATAAACGTTATGTTATGAATAATGGTTATAAGAAACAATAGTTTTTAATAAACGCTACCTGTTTATAAAAACCATTGTTTCTTAAATTTTTAATAGCTTTACATTAAATTAAGATAACACAGTATTTTTGGAAGATAAGGATCAATTGTCTAAGAAATAAAACTTAGAAAAGTAGTTTTTAGTGGTACGAGCGCCACAGCAGACCTCTATCTTAACCATCTATTTTAATAATATAGAACATATTATATACAAAATTAGCTAGCGTTCTTGCCACCATGCCGCGTGGATTAGGTTTATTAGATAATATGTAATTTTAGATAGATTTAATCTTGTAAATATTAGATCAATAAAGATAAAAATTTTGATATTGAAAAAAAAAATACAAAGATAAGAAATGTTCCCACAAAAACATTATGAACTTACCAACTGGTTGGAAAAATTGCATTTACACTAATTGAATCATGATGAAAATAAGGGAGTTTCTTTTCCGTCTTGTGATCTTTGTAGATATAAATAAAATGGGAGAGTTCACGGTTAAGATTCAATCTCATTAAAGAAGACACCACAGAAGCATTAAAAACATAAGCTCCGATATGAGTAAGATGACCTGGATTCTTGATGGGACCAGTTCAAGTCGGTTTTTTGAAATTAAAAAATGGGGTTATTCTGTTTTGAACTCAGTTTTATTGTTTAAAATGGATGAATATTCTTGCTTGCCTAGTACACTTATTTCTTGCACATGTTTATAGGAAGTAAGTCAACCATGGATGGCAACCGTGATGCAATTGCCAAGGTATTAGCTTCGTCGGGGGTCGTGGCTTTGATTCCCACACGAGACAACTATTTGTGTGACCCATAGATAGTTGTTTCGGATCTGTGTTCCACGTTAGGTATGTAAAGCGTCCTTATCACCTAGGATTGTGTTATCCTTCGGTAAGGAGCAATATTTTCGAAGGGAAGATTACGAAAGACCTTATAGTCGCAATGGTCATAGGGGATTTACTACTCAACACCTTCCGCACAAAATACAAAGTGTATGTCATGCATAAAAAGACATATATGGCCTGCCCTCAATAAAATGCTCTTAAACCCGCAGAAACGACTTTACTTAGCTCGTTATACGTATCAGGTAGTTAGTTCTTACCTGTGAATATTCCGAATCTTACGTCATTTTGAAATAATAAAATGTTTCAACAAAAACTGTCGTGGCTTCGAATTACATACGGGACAAGTGTTTGTGTGATCCTCAGATATATGTATGTTATGCATCTGGTTGGTTGTTTCCAAGGAGAGTTGTCAGGCAGGAAGCTGGTCGTAAGAAACCTAACCATTAACAACATGAACTCATGTTGCGCCTTTGTGAGATGGGGACAAGAGAATGAATGGATGGATGGATGGATGCAGTAAGCTAAACCTCATATTTGCCACGTTTCCCTCACTGACGAAAAGGTTGTAATAAAAAACAGGCTCTCAGCCTATTATTTATTACAACGCCACATTTATTGAGTCCCCTAATATTTCACTTGGACGCTGAAGTCATGTCGCTCATATTTCACGACCTCCTCAATTTAGGAAATATATCGGTTATATTAGGTCCCATATAATGGACATTTTTATACTGGCTACATGAAGATATATATATGTTTTCTATTTAAAATTCCAAGCTGAATTCATAATATTAAATAAGTTCTACGGCTTGCGAGTTGCACTGCACATTGTTAAATGAAACAAATATGAAGCACTTATCTAATCCATGAAGCGAAAACTTTGCATCTGTTTTTAATATTATTCACGTGGGATATTTACATTTGGTATAGTTAAGCTTTATTTGAAGAAGAAATGCAGAAAGCTCTATATAGAATATGTTATATTTTTACATTTTCCAGACACACTTTTTACACACTTAAAATTGTAAATTTTTAAACAAAAATTTTCAGAACTGCATGGTTCGAATATTTGTCTTCTGGGCGTGAAGAGTATAAGACATTTTATTAGTATCGAGAGTATCGAGATCTTTTTTAAGTTTTATCTTGAGTGCCGAGACTAGCACAAAAATAAAAATTAATCCTATCCCGATGCTTCAAAAAGACATAAAGCATTCACAATTCGTATTAAAAACATAATTTATCCCGATAGCCTATGGGGAAGAAAGGTTCTCGAGTGGGCCCCTCGCACTGGCCAGCGCAAGGTGCGGAGTGTACTAATGTACGGAAAGTCGATGTTAAATTTTTATACTTCGATTTACTATTTTGATGTTTAATACGTAATTGAACTTTTTAATTAACTTAAATGCTTGTTATATTAAAATAAACTAGTTTACGGATTTTATCGCGTTTTTATTTGATTTGTCTTCTCCACGTCGACGGTAACTTAGTCTGTCCCGTGACCATGAACGCTGGAAAGGGTTGGAAACGTAAAATTTATAATATTAGTATAATATTATCAATGCAAAAGTAACTCTGTTTGTCTGTCTCGCTTTCACGCCAAAACTACTGCACCTATTTACATGAAATTTGGTACACAGATAGTCTAGAGCCTGAGAAAGGATATAGGTTATTTTTTAATTGGAAAAAAGTTTTGTAAAGGGTTGAAAATATCTTTCTTTAAAAAATACATATAGTTTTTGAAGAAAGATATTTACGAGTATTTTTAAGGGTTTCAAGGCGAGCGAAGCCGCGGGCGAAAAGCTAGTTTCCAAATAAATGTGAATTTTTTTAATAATGTATTATTTATCATTTGCTTAAATATCTACTGTTCTTATATCTTTTATGTGTGTGCATTTTGCCTGTATACAAAAGGCATATTTTCCTTACTTTCACATAATAATTCTCAGTTCTAACACTTCCTCAATCTTTCTTTCGGGCGATATTAATTACGAGACATTGCAAAGAGGTGGAGGCTCGTGGATGATGGATGCGTTATTACGTTCAGTACTGTTGGAATATATTTTGGGTGGCTGGAATAATAAAACTACGGATCCCCGTTGACGTATAATGAAGGCCGTTGTAGGCGTTATTCTGTTTATTAAATATTTCGGGTTCATCTTATCTTTATTACTTTTAAATCAAAATTACTTTAGTAAACAACGGTCCAGTACCGGTATAGTACGTTTCTTTCATTAGGAGCAGTGGCTTCTTTGTTAACGACACATTTACACCCAGTTTCCGAAAGCGCAATCAATTTTAATTTACGATAAATCTCTTGTCAATCGTTGTTTAACATGATCTGAGTTGCTAGAACGTCTTAAACAACATTGATTTTGATTTGCAATTAGTCACTGATTAAAGGACAATCAACAGAAAATCGAGTTTCTGAAAGCGTTTTTTGGTGGTCAACGAGCTGTCAAAAGTTTAATTAAGTAATCTGTCAATTTGGACGATCAATCGTTGGTCAAAAATGTTATTTATCAAAAATCTTAGTTTTTATTAAAAATAAACATAATTCCCTAATACGTTGTTAGGACATTCATGTGTTCTATTACCTATTTATTATTTATTAATATGCGAACATATCATGTGATTAGAAAAAATACAAAATGCAATTCAAAAGTTAATAAATAATATGGATTCTTTCTTTTTATAATACTTAATTGTTTATTATGGATAAAAGTTCATTTTTTTCACGTTCTGTAAAGATTTTTTTTGACATTTTGCAGGTATTTATATAAATTAAATTTTATTATAGCTCGAATTTTTACGTTGGCAATCACACGGTGACAGGACTGGATAGTGACGTTAATTTAAGTTTTGTTTCAAAAGGGGCAGCTATACAATAGAAAGAGTTAGTTGAAGTGAATCATTCATTTCATTCATTATCATTGGTTATACAGTGATTAGCTAATTTTTCTTGAACAAACCTTCCAGAAACCCAAGGCAGTTTAACAAGAGATTAACAGCTGATCATTTTTGACATAGTGTTATGTGATTGCTGCTTTGATTGGCCTTTCGGAAACTGGGCATTAAACGATCAAACTAGTAACTTACAGGAGTACGAACAGTGAACAAGATTCAGAAATATGGAATTTTGTATCAAAAACTGCTTGACGGTGTAAAAAGAGTTAATAACCAGAATAAAATCACGTTACGGCTATTAGTAATTTGCTAATGAACTTTCTAAAAAAATTCGCTATTTTTACTATTTTCATTTTGGACATTCAACTTACAATCTTTATTACACAGTAAACTTTATTACTTTAATGAAATAAAATTTGTAATAAAATGGATAAAAATTTAATCTTATCTTAAGTAAACAGAAGTATTATATTAATATAATGAATATCATTTAATGATATTAAATAGGTTTTCGGTTTATTTAATAACTTTGAATTTATTACAAGATTTCATAAAGTTATTGGCACAAACTAGTAAACATCAGAACTGATGTAGTTTAAACAAGAAATAAAGCAAAATTACATTGCTTACAAATTAGGTTCTGATAGTCTAATTTATACGTATAAAATACCGATTGATGGCTCGAAGAAGGAAATTTGGTCTTGTAATAATTTGTAACGTTTACACTTTCATTTAACCAAAATTAATCTCTTGAAACTCTCAGATAAAATTTACTCATTTGAAACCTACAAATGTATATTCTGTGTAAAATGAACAAGTCTTCAATTTGGTCCCATGCTAATGACCTTATTACTGAAACGTTTATCTAAATTTCCACACAAAAAGGTTACCGTTTTGTAAGTTTTGTCAAAAGACCCACTAGAACGCGTCCGAATTAATGTTTTCCGTTCATAAGCCAAGTAAATAAAACTTCATGAATTAAATACAGTTGCTAATACAATTTTCTTGCGTGATTTTCACCAATAACTTTAAAAGCTCGTAAACGCAGGTAAAAAGTAACTAAGTAAAAAATAAAATGATGAGAAAATCTGGATGTGATCCTGTCTTCACTGTAGCACCAATGGGCAGGTCCGTCCGGAAAAGTACCACGACCTCGTAGAAGACCGGCGTGAAGTTAAGTTTACTTATGTTACTTCTGCGTTTCGTCCGGTGAGTGAGGTAGCCGGGGCCCACTTTATTAAAAGGGGGTATCTCGTCTGCCACGCTATTGGTGTTGCAAATGTCCATGGGCGGCGGTTATCACTTAACATCAGGTGAACCGCCAGCACGCTTGCCACGTATTCACATAAAAAAAATGTATTACTTACAATCGGTATTCCCACTATGCAAAGACATCACGGAATAAGTTTTCTGACATCCGATGTATGTCTTTTTTAATTAATCTCTTTTATGCGGTTGCTGTGAAACTTTCTGCGGTCCCATGGTAATTTGGTACGCTTTTTCTTGAGAGATTACAAAATACTTCCGCGCCGCGTGGCTCCACCAGAGTAGAAAATGAGTCAGAATAAGCAAGCACATCTTGTTATATTAATCTCAAACGTTATAGCCAGCATTGAGTGAAAAGTAAAAACAACTTAGAGAACTTCTTAAAAAT